GATGCGAAACCTCGAAACCTCGAAACGCGAATTGCGACAGCTGCTGGCGGAATGGAATCCCAACCATCCCCTGCCCCCACGCACCGACTGGGCCCGACTGGGCCCCTGCCAAATTGGTCATTAAGTGACACGCAGACAGCCCTGGACTGCGATGCAGTGGGGCAGCAGCAGGGCCACTTGCATTAAGGGACATTTTAATTTGGTCTGTCAGCGGCAGACGACGACAAACGAGAGCCAGAACCGCAGAGAGAGTGCAGCAGGACACAGCACAGCAGTCGAACTGCAGCAGGCAGACAAAACTGATTTGCCAAAAACGACACCTGACTCGGGCACACACATATGTATGCATGGACATTCACCCTACCCCACTCTGCACTGTGCTTTCTGCTCTTTGCGTCCGGTGCGTGGCCGTGACAGGACATGTTGTTGATTTCTAATTTCACGCTGCGTCGTGTGAAAATCAACACCGTCACATGACCTCCAACGTGGACAGCAGTGGCAGAGTAAAGGCGAAAGGCAAATGGAGGTGGAACGAAGTGGACCGAAGTGGAAGGTGGACGTGGAGCCAAATGGAAAACGCAGCCCGCAGAAAAACTCAGCTAATGAAGCCTAAGCGCTCGGCTTAGCGAGAAGGCTGCCCACCCCTCTCTGCCCTGGTGAAGGGCCAAAATGGAATCTCGTTTAGTGCAGCGATGTGGGGACGACCATCAGGAAAACGCATCTGCAGGACACACATACACATGGACCGCTTAACCCTTGCAGCTAAACTGGCATCCACCCTACACACTCACTCACTCTGCCTGCCGGCCTGCCTGCCTGCCGCCTGCCTGCCGTCTGGCCGCAATCAATCTGATCCCATCTATCCTCTCGCCTTGCCGCAAAACTACCGTTATGTGGCAGGGCGACACAGGCAGGTGGCGAAATTAGCGCTATTTCCGCCGCAAAAACACAACAAATACACATTAAATGGGATCCGCAAACTAAGAGAGTGGAGTGGGAGGGAGAGCATAGTAGAACAGAACAGAGAGGAAGAGCAGCAGCAACCTAAGAGAGTGGGTAAGAGCAAGCAAGAGACACCAAACTATAGGAAACAGAGTAACAGTGGAATCAGCCGACAGTGTGGAACAATGGCCCAGGCCCTGCCCCGTACCCCGTACCCCGTGCCCTGGCGACCAACTTGGTAAATCACCGAAATCCGCATCTTTAGCATCTTAACGGCCAATTTAGCAGCACGAAACAAGAGGGGCCAGCAGCAGCAGCAGCAGCAGCCGGATGAGGAGCGGAGTCGGAGAGAGACAAAAACCGAAATTAGACAAAGACAGAGAAGACAATAATAAAAGATAATAAAACAAACGTAAACGTAAAGTCTGTGCAAATGCCAAGGACTCCCATGGCCTGGCAAGGAGTGCGGGCGGGCGCGCGTGTGGAAAAGGATGAAGCTACTTGGCCTTGGAACTTCTTGGCTAAATAAAAACACTTTTGGGAACAATAGACATCGTGGAGCGATATGACACTCGGGCGCACTCCACCTCACCCCCACCCCCACACACCTTTCTGGCTGACAAAACTTTTTTGCCCCGCCACCTCCCAGGAGAGGCAAAGCAGAAGGAACCAAGAGAACCAAGATGGGAGGAGGAGAGCACGAGAGCCAGCAGGAGGAGGGTGGGTGTCTCTGAGTAGTTGCCGGCGGGCGTTTGTCATTTTTTTGTTTTGTTGTTTGCAACTCTCAGTCCCAGGCCCCTTGAGCTGTGGGGGGCTCTGAGCCTGGGATCCGGGGGTCCTCTGCCAACCGCCTGCCCATCCACCAGCTTCATTATCTAGCCAGGGAAAGACAACATCGCCCACAGCAGGACGACTGAGTTTTTGTTTAATTTTGCGTGCCGCAACGTGCAATTAAACAAAGGATACGGCAACGGCTCCAACACACAAAAGAAGCCCGCCAGGCAGCCAAATGACACAGGTAGGTCGCCATTTCAAGGTAAATGCTTGAGGAATTTCCTTTGAGCGCAAAGTAGCTTCTCAGGTTGCCACAGGGGGGGGGTGCGATTAAAGAAGATCGTTGCCAGTTTCGGCTCGGGCGGGTCTTTCCTTATTTTGCACTGATTTCAGTTTCATTTTTGTTGCTCCCGTTATCCCAACGCGAATTACGGCAGTGCTAGCTCTCTCTCTCTCCCAGCATTGCTCACTTGCTAAGATGCTACCTGCGACAGTTGCCTGAGATGCAATTCCCAATTGTCTATCACTCTCTTTCACACCCACACCCACCCATTGCAGAGGCACACGCTCGAGAGAGCGCTTGCACTCATAATTGCGTTCTTTTGATCCTCTCTGAGCGAATCTCACTCCATGCGCACACAAGCGCATACAAGTACCGCAATGGCAAATACAGACGACAGGAACAACTGTAAATCGACCACAGAGATGAGACAAACACAGAAGAAAGAGTGGAAATACAAAGGCAGCAGAGGTAAATGCCAAGGGGAATGGGAATGGTTTTATACATAACAGTAACAGACAGTAGACACAAAATGCACTGTAAATATCTGCATGATCCGACAGCGATCGCTTTAAACTTTTGCTGTGAAAATAATTAGATAACTCGTACAGTGTGTTTTCTTTAATTTATGGCTCATCTCTATCAGTTGATGATCCTTACTTGATCTTCGGAACTCTTTGCACTTACACATGCTGGTGGCCAGGAAACTCATTTCCTCTTTGTGGGGGCGGATTTTCCCATTCAAACGCGTTCCCCCTACCCACTCGTAATGGTGCTTGCTGCTCTGCTCGTTCGATCGTTTTGCAATTTTCTATTCGCATTTCCGCTGTGTTGTATGCATTCAACGTGTGTTGCTCGGCAACGGCAACGGCAACGTTTCTCGGCCAACGGCCAGCGGAAGCGAGCCAAAGCAGGCGAACACAATCACAGAGTCCAAATGCGCAGGCAAAGCGTATCAAATGCCAGGTTAGCCAGATTTGGACAGGTTGCCCAATGGCTAAGTGCCAGAAATGCCAATAGACGAGCGGCCAGCGACGTGCGCATTCCAATGGTCGGTCAATACAGTGCGGCCTTGTGGTTAGCGTACACCCCTTCCAGTAGTAAGTAGATATCCCATTCAATATTCGATATTTAATGCTCGGCATTGAGCATTGAGCATTGAGCATTTAGCATTTTCCCCATTCCATTGCCGTGGCGCTGTTTTTGATTCATTGACCAATTGGCCATCACGTCCTCAAAAACGAAAACAAAAACAGCGAAGAGCAGAGAAGAGAAGTGCCGCCAAAATAGATCTCTCCACATGGAATGTACTCGTCTGTGGGATATGGATTTATGGACAGCTGCAGTTGCCCCGCCCCCTCTTAACGCTAATGTTCACTTCCTTCCGCTCTTCATTTTGAACGACTTATCAGTTTCAAGTGCATCTTCCATCTGCCTCGTGCAGCTGTTGCATATGTTAAAAATACACAAATGAGTTTGGCATGTGCCACAGGGAGCCACTGAAATACGAACTGAAATGGGGGCCACTGAGAGTTGAGGAGTAAACAACAGATTACAGATCATGTCAGATCGATTATGGGAACGGGCCATGGACTCCTGCCGCAACTCTCTCTCTCTCTCTCTCTCTCTCTCTCTCTCTTCGTTTGTGCCCCCCCTCGACGCTCTTTTTGCTAATTTATGCCACGTCGCGGCTAATTAATTTCTGCTGGGGACCAGACCAGACCAGACCATGGCCGGGGTAGCCAACAGCTATCTGAAATCAGAAACTCTCGCGTTCCGTGCATGGAATGGCCAATGGCCAATGGCCGGCCAATGGGAACGGGCAACTGGCTTTTCATTGGAAATGTTTTGCGCGTTTTTCAGTTGATTTTGCCATAGGCCAAAGGCATCATCATCATCATCATCATCATACTTGTACATACTCAAGCAGCGACAACAATCATTTAAGATTGTGTAACTGCAGAAACGCAAACAAGCAGCATTAATAAATGCAAAGGCATTCAACGTATGCCCGTCCCCACCGACTGGCTGGACATTTTCAATGTTAACTCGGAGACAGAGAAATTCTCGAAAAATGCAAATTTTTGCAAAGTGCACCCAATGCTGAACAGGGGACAGACGACGACGACGACGAGCTGTTTCCATTGAAAGACGTTTCCTGCCATGGCCTGACATCTATGCATTAGAAGGCGTGGCTCTCCCTGTGGATGCTGTAGACAAAAAACCCATCGATCGATCATTAGATTCATAGAACATTTTATTGTTTGTTGTTGTGGCTGTTGTTGCACTTAAAAATAGACATAAGACACTGCACATTCAGCTGCGATTACAATTAGTTATCAATTATTATCGTTATCGTAATCGTTATCGTTAACCCTACAAAAATGATGCATTCGATTTAGCTCGATGATTCGAATTAAATATTAGATATTTGCTTTTTGTTTATATTTATATATACTATCTATGTGTATGTGTGTGTGTGTGTGTGTGTGTGTGTGTGTGTGTGTGTGTGTGTGTGTTAGCTGGATATGCCACCGATATTTGCTTGCTGTTTCCCCCAACCCAGAACCCACCCCTCCATCGCTTCCCTCCGTTGCACGTCGAGTTCGATCGCCTTAATATGTACATTAAGTAGAATTGGTTAATCATAATACACGTATGTGTGTGCATGTGCATGTGCATGTGTGTGTGTGTGTATATCTGTTGTATATACAGAAACATTTTCGCCAAGGCTGCTGCTGCTCCTCATTCCTTCCTCCTTCTCGCATTACAAACAAGTCAACATAACATTTGATTTAAATATTAGGACAAAAAAAAATTATATAGAGGATTGTGGTATTAATAATTATTAATTAATTAATAATAGCAAAATAATCATAATAATCATAATTATAATAATAATAGTTCGATTTTCCCATTTGAATTAAGCTCTGTTTGGGGCCGGCCTGTGGTTTGTACACTCCCCTCTCCCCTCTCGCCACTCCCCGCTCGGTTTTCGTTTTCGTTTTCCTCTTGCTTGTTGCTCTCTTTCGCGCGTTCCAATGCCGATCGTTCAACCCTTGCCCATGCCCATTCCCATTCCCATTCCCATCATTCCGTTGTTCTCTTCGATGTACACATTGCCCGGCTGCAGCGTCTTCAGTATGCGTCGCTCCTGATGCTTGCCCTGATGGTGTTTTTCTGCAAGAGACAACACAAAAGAGAGGATTTAAGAGAGGGCCAAATGGAATGACGCAATTAAAATTCAATCCGCATGCTCAACCCCCCCCCCCCCCCCCCCCC